CTGTGTGTTGACAGATTGCATGCAGATTGTAAAGGTAACAGATCTGCCAGATGGAGATCTGTGTGTGTGGGGTGTCCCAGCAGACCGTTCTGCGGATAAACTGTTGGGTGGTGGCAAGCTACCGTTTGTAGTGTGTCTAGTGTGGGGGTGTGTGGACAGTGGAAGAGTGATTAACTCCGGGGTTCTGGCTTGTAGGATAGCTGGAGGGATCCTAGAAGGGTGTGTCCATTGCTAGACTGCTCTTCAACCCTATTTAGTGCATCAGATTGTATGCAAGATTTGTATCTGCCAGTGTGTAGTCAGCCATCTGGATTGGAGTCTCCCTCCGGTGGTGGCCAAGAGGTAGTGCGGGCTGTGAAAGTATATCACGGCCGGTCTTATATATATATATATATTTAGATTAAGTTCCCCTTATTCCCTCTTACCCCAAGTCGGCCGCACATGCGCGCCTCCGTTAGCTAGTTGCTGTGGGCGTGGCGTGTGGGTGAACTCGTGACACTTGGTCTGTCCGGAGGAAGAACATTCTATTAAAGTTACGGTTTCAAAGCCCAGTCCACTCTTTACTTCTACAAAGGCCTGATGGCGGAAAGCTGGCCGAAGGACTGTCGTCTAAGGATCTAGTCTGGTATCAAAGGGTGAAAGTGTCGTCAGCATATTGGAAGGAGACAACCAATTCATCCAAAGATATTTGTGAATGCAAACAGGTGAGGGAGATCCTAGAGATGGTAAGCTGAGGCCATCCCTCGTGTGTTTAGAGTCAGCGGATACGAAGGAGACATTGTGTCCTGAAGAGCTTAGTCTACTTAATTCTTTGTGAAAGGACTTCGCTTGGTCTGCCCAGAAAGAAGAAGAACATTCTATTAAAGTTACGCTTTCAGAGCCCAGTCCACTCTACGTCTACAAAGGGCCTGGAGGCCTGATGGCTGAAAGCTGGCCGAAGGACGGTTATCTAAGGATCTAGTCTGGTATCAAAGGGTGGAAGTGTCGTGAACATATTGGAAGGAGACAACCAATTCTTCCAAAGATATTTGTGAATGCAAACAGGTGAGAAAGACCCTAGAGATTGTAAGCTGAGGCCATACCTTGTGTGTTAGAGTCAGCGAATACGAAGGAGACATTGGGGTTTATTTACTAAAGCTGGAGAGTCCAAAATCAGACTCCCTTCTGCATAGAAACCAATCAGCTTCAGGTTTCATTGCCAAAGCTTCATTGAACAAGCTGAGGTTAGAAGCTGATTGGTTTCTATGCAGAAGGGAGTCTGATTTTGGACTCTCCAGCTTTAGTAAATAAACCCCATTGTGTCCTGAAGAGCTTAGTCTACTTAATTCTTTGTGAAAGGACTTAGCTTGGTCTGTCCAGAAAGAAGAAGAACATTCTATTAAAGTTATGCTTTCAAAGCCCAGTTCACTCTACTTCTACAAAAGGGCCTGGAGGCCTGATGGCTGAAAGCTGGCCAAAGGACTGTCGTCTAAGGATCTAGTCTGCATTCTATTAGTTACGCTTTCAAAGCCCAGTCCACTCTACTTCTACAAAAGGGCCTGGAGGCCTGATGGCTGAAAGCTGGCCAAAGGACTGTCGTCTAAGGATCTAGTCTGCATTCTATTAGTTACGCTTTCAAAGCCCAGTCCACTCTACTTCTACAAAAGGGCCTGGAGGCCTGATGGCTGAAAGCTGGCCGAAGGACGGTTATCTAAAGGATCTAGTCTGGTATCAAAGGGTGGAAGTGTCGTGAACATATTGGAAGGAGACAACCAATTTTTTCAAAGATATTTGTGAATGCAAACCGGTGAGACCTCCTCTGTAACTTTACACTGCTAACCTGCAGAAATTTTTAAAGCATCGCCCTTGGAGGTTTTTAAGTACCGCAGTTTCACGTCATTCCACGAGCATGCACAATTTTAAAGCGTGACATGTTGGGTAACTATTTACTCGCCGTAACATCCTCTTTCATAATTTGTCAAAAAAATTGGGGTATATATTGTTTTTTTTTATCAAAGTGTATTTTTTTTACAAAAAAAAATATATATTCATTTGTAAAAATTGTGCATTTCGGTTTCAGTTTTTGACAAAGTGCATTTTCAATTTTCGGCACCAGAATTTTCATTTCGGTGCACCACTAATTTTTATTGCTGTCTGATCCCCCGTTGAGAAGATTCCCCCTCTCTATATTTGTCTGCTTAGCATTATTATTGAAAGTAAAAGAAAAACCCAAATTTTGGGTTGTCCCCAAAAAAGTAAGAGGAAATCTTCCAATGGGGACCTGGGAGTCCCCAGGGAATTCCCTTTATTTGCAGGCATCCTCTCACTTCCTGTTTGGCTATGGGACAGGAAGTGAAGGGAAATATCTTCAATGGGACACAGATGGAAAAAAAAAAAAAATCCTGGACGGGGTTATAACCTTCCCTTACTCTACCCAAAATATAAAATTTTGCCTATAGTTGTACTTTAAGCTCCAATCCCGTAGTGCTGCCATGTATGACCGTCCCAAACGCCAACATTTTACATATGAACTCATTCACTTAAGAATTTTCGAAAGCAGCACAATTACAAAGACATTCATTTCTGTTATCTTAGAACACCTTAAAACCTTTACCAACCTCCAGACTCCGAAATACCTCGATGTAGGACAAGGAGATCAATTGTCTCTATGTTCCATGGCAAGAGAGTCCAAGGATCCGGAGAGCAACAATTTGTTTTAATAACACGATTCTGAAAAAGTCGTTCTAGCAAGCGAACCTGTTATTATATAAAGAACCCAACATTAGCATATAAGCACTTAGAAAGGTCATTTGATCCTTAGTAAAGCATAGAAAAACGAATTTCCTTCCAAGGTTCTGGGACCGGAGGGGTGAAAGGTGGTTCTAATAATAGTCCAAGCTGACCCATCATTCTATCCAATCATTGATCAATTGGGCAGCACAGTGGCAAAGTGGTTAGCACTTTTGCCTGGCAGTACTGGGGTTATTGGTTAAAATCCTGATCACGGCACCACTTGCCTGGAGTTTGCATGTTCTCCCTGTGCCTGCATGGGTTTCCTCTCACACTCCAAAGACATGCTGATAGGTTGCTTCCGGTCTATAAATTGTCCCTAGTATGTGTACGTATGAATGTGAGTTCGGGACCTTAGATTGTAAACTCCTCGGGGGCGGGGATCAATGTGAATGTACAATATATATGTAAAGCGCTACGTAAATTGACGGCACTATATAAGTACCTGAAATAAAATATTACCATGTTTCCCCTTCCTGATACTGTATACCCCCCTCCCCCCCACCTGTCCACAATACCACGCACACAAAACACGGCCACAATAAATCGCTCAACACTGATATCTGTTTATCATTTACATGTTTATTATGGAAAGAAAAGAACATTGACAGATATCAATCCCCGCCCCCTGTACAGCATAACCAATAGGAACAAGGCTAGCACTGGCTGTGTTAATAGTGACAGTTTATTACAGCCAGAGTAAGGGGGAGGAGCAATCACAGATAAATTGATTTGTCACACAAGGCATCTATGAGGACATTAGGAATGATCATTGTGGATACTAAAATGTGTGTTCAGATAAAACCTATGTTTCTAGTATTGGATGGAGAGGGTGCGTGGGGGGAGGGAGGGTGTGGGGGGGGGAGGGGAGGGTGTGGGGGGGGAGGGGAGGGGTGCGCAAGGGGGTTATTAGAATCCCTGCCAAGATTTTACTACAATCTGCAGGTCCATTACAGAGATGTCCCCTCAATTCCTGCCCTGGTGACATTTTTTTTTCCCTAGACAGGGTTCTAGCCTTCCCCTATTCTAATAAAGAAAATCTTTTTTTGTATCCGGTCTATCGGTCTATTTTGCTGTCAGATTTCCCCTCACTTCCTGTCTGGTAAATTGTTGTCAGGACAGGAAGTAAATGGAAATTTCTCTGACTGAGTCCCGGATAACAGTACAAAAGGTTCTAATATAACTCCAATTCATAAAAAATTGAAAACACACGTTGGCTATAGATACATTATTAAAGGTGCAGGCTCCGGGGCTAACCCCAATCCTCACTAAACTACCTCATGTTTCACTGACCCGGAACAAGCATGCAGCCAGTGAAGCTGAAATAATCTGACCTCCTGCATGCTTGTTCCTGCTCAGTGACACACTAGGCGGTGAAATTTAGGATGAAGATGATGGCCCCAGAGCTGTCATCAGGAATGGTGGTTCTTGTCCACTACTTCCTCCTATCGGCTGGGTATTTCACCAGATTCTCCATCCTGTGAGGTCACCAGTCTCTGGGCGGTTTTCTCACATCGTATTCCTCCCCACATATCTTTATACAGGAACCACTCCCTACACGTAACCCGGCATGGAGGGGCTCAGTGAAGGTGGTGGTGATGGTGTGGAGGTGTCGGATCGGGTCACACAGATCATAGAAGGAGATCCGCCCGGCCTCATAATCCAGATATATCCTGAATCTGTTACTGAAGACACCGCCGGGTAATGGGATCTGATTATTGTCATGCAGCACCGAGTACTGATTATACCTCCTCCTCTCCAAACACCAGGACTTCTCATTATATCCCAACCCTGAATGATATCCTATCCTGTCTATACTGGGGTAACACATCCCGACTCTCCAGATCTGTGACCTTCCGACATCCACTTCCCAGTAATGTCTCCCCGAGGAGAAGCTCTGAATGCTTAACACCTGAGAACAACGAAATTTCTCTGGTGTTTCTGGGTAAGTTGAATGTAGTGACTTGGACACAGTTTTCTTGTCGTATGATACAAGTAGATGATGACCGGCTGTCCTCACATCCAGTAATATGTCTGTAACCCCCGACACCACCCATGTTTTCTGTTTAGCCCCAATATTTTGTCCTCTAGCTTGGCGGTATGACCATTGTGTGGTGGGAGTGGGTTGGGGATGTCTCCTAGATGGTTCATCATTGATGTTAACTTTGTCCCATGAAGTCGAATGTGGAGAGACATGTGTGCCTGTACATTTCTGTACATTGACCCCAGACATGATATCAGATAAACCCGTGTGTAATATGTGTGAGATCCCCCCCACATCCACATCCCCTCCATCATGGAGGAGGTTCTCATGTCTCTCTCTGTCCTCATCTCCATCCTCAGTATCACACAAGTCCGATTCCTGTAGGACAGTCAGTGCATCCGTCATTTTACACAGCTTCTCAATGTCCCCCATCTTCCTGGACAGCTCCTCCTTCTTTATTTCCAGATCCTGGATCATATCAGACAGCGATCGAGAGGTCCGCTCTGCCTGCCTGGAGATCTCACTCAGGACTCTCTTCTCCAAGTCTTCCAGACGTCTTCTGAGGTCTCTGAACAGGGCAGTGACTCTCTCGGTTTCATCATCTGCTTTTCCTTGGATTTTCCCCTTGCGTTCCTGCAAACTCTGGATTCTCTTCTCTGTCTCCTCTCTCTCTGTCATCAGTTTCTGCAGAACATTCCTCAGTTTTTTCTTTTTCTTCTCATAGGCCTCCTCTAGACTCACCACCTGATGTCCCCGATGTTCTCCGACCAAACTGCAAGACACACAGATACAGGTGGAGTCCACGGTGCAGTAATACTTCAGTAGTTCCTTATGGATGGAGCATTTCCTGGTCTCCAGGTAAGTGGTGAGGTCACATAGGACGTGTTCTGGTGACTTGCTGTGGACTCTCAGGTGGTTGTCACACAGAGAAGCTTCACACATCAGACAGGATTTCACAGCCGGTACAGGAGTGTGAATACAGTAAGTACAGAAGACCCCAGTTGACTCCTGATTTCGCTGAGAAGACATGAAATTCTCCACTATATTACGTAGCGTTATGTTCCTCCGCAGTGCAGGCCGCTCCTGGAATTCATCTCTGCATTCAGGACAGGAATACCATCCAGACCCCTCTTGTGTATCCAACATACGACCAATACAATCCTGGCAGAAGTTGTGTCCACATTTCAGGGTTACAGGATCTGTATAAATGTCCAGACAGATGGAACATTCCAGTTCATTCCACAGGTCAGCAGACGCCATTTCTGAAAGACAAGAGAGAAAAGTTGAAAGTATCTGACACTCATTAAAACTGATCTCTAGGAATTCAGCCATTCTGTAAAGTGTGTCAGATGACTGGGGGGGGGGGGGGGGTTTGAGTCCAATGGGATGCTTGCCACCTTGTGGACTTCTGTTTTTACAACTAAGGCCAACCATAGACGGAGCAAAATTTCTTAAATCTGGAAGGTTGGTTGTACCCAAGTTGCCTATTCAACCAACTCTGGTACATTCAGCCCATACTGCACATGGTTCAAATCTCAGCCAGTTCCAGCTGAACAAGCCAAGATTTGAAACGTCGAGGAGAAGTTGTCTAATATAGCGGTCGCTCTGACACAATTTGGGTGTCATCAGTCAGAAAAGGTCCCTTCCAGTACTGAGAGGATGTATTGTAGTATGGGTATCAGAACCCACTGAGCACCCCCTCCTAATCCCCATTATGTGTTATAGCAGTGAGGGGAGTCATGTACTGACACAACGGTAGACTGAAAGCTCTTGAGTGATAAGACGAGCATGGGCTTGAGGTGAGTCCAAATCATTTGTGGTTAGAGGAAACTGCAAACTAAGTTGGCCACTTGCTTGCAGCCATAGCATCCAATGATTGATAATCATTTGCCACTAGCAAAGACCGTAAAGTTTGAATGGACCCTGACTGCGACCTGAGCGCTAGCCATTTGCAGTAGGGATAAATGGCAAACTAATTCAACTCTTGCCTGCCATAGCAACAAATTACCAAATATGCAGTTATTAACCTTTAAACTTTCATCAGGTGGCTTAGAATTGGTTAATAATTGGAGGTTTTTTAATGGGCAGCCACTCCCTATAAAAGTCAGGGCTCCTAGAAGCCTTTTGTCAGTATGCGTGAAGTCTTGGAGTACAGCAGACATCATTTTACGTGAGAGATGCTGATATACACAGAACTATATGGTGATCTGAAAGGGGTCTTCTGCTCTCTGAGCAGGTAGCTAATGGGATTTATGTGGAGGGTGGAGGGGCTAATCTGGATTATCAGGTAGGAAGATGGGTTACTGTAACGAGAGGGAGTAGTAGGGGCTCACAGAAAAGGAAGGCTGGCCCTGGGGTTGTGCACTCAAAACAGATTTGCCAAGCTGGGTGAAGATGTGGGGGGTGGCAACCCTGGATGTCACTGCTATCTCTAACAGCCGGGAGAGCAGACCATCTGGGAGGGGTGGTGATTGTAGTGCAGGAAGGCCTAGACAGCTGGTGGTAGTAGGGGATTCTATAAGCAAAAGGACTGTTAGAATAATTTGTCGCCAGGATCGCCTCAACCAAATGGTTTGCTGTCCCCCTGGTGCCAGGGTTCGGCATGTGGTGGACCGGATTAATAAATTACGGGAAGGGGCTGGGCATGACCCAACTGTCTTGGTTCATGTTGGAACCAATGACAGAATACATGGAAGGTGGAGGCTCCTTAAGAATCAATTTAAAGAACTAGGTTGCAAGTTGAAGGGAAGGACCTCCAAGGTGATATTCTCTGAAATATTACCTGTGCCATGCACAACTCAGGAAAGATGGGGAGATTAGAGAACTCCATGCATGGCTGAAGACCTAGTGTACAAAGGAAGGATTTGGGTTTCTAGAGCACTGGGCTGACTTTTCATTGGGGTGCAACCTACAGTCAGGTCCATAAATATTGGGACATCGACACAATTCTAAAAATTCTAACATTTTTGGCTCTATACACCACCACAATGGATTTGATTTGAGGGTATTTACATCCAAATCAGGTGAACGGTGTAGGAATTACAACAGTTTGCATATGTGCCTCCTACTTGTTAAGGGACCAAAAGTAATGGGACAGAATAATAATCATAAATCAAACTTTCACTTTTTAAGACTTGGTTGCAAATCCTTTGCAGTCAATTACAGCCTGAAGTGTGGAACGCATAGACATCACCAGACGCTGGGGTGTCATCCCTGGTGATGCTCTGCCAGGCCTCTACTGCAACTGTCTTCAGTTCCTGCTTGTTCTTGGGGCATTTTCCCTTCAGTTTTGTCTTCAGCAAGTGAAATGCTCAATCGGAATCAGGTCAGGTGATGGACTTGGCCATTGCAGAACATTCCACTTCTTTGGTTGCTTTTGCAGTCTGCTTTGGGTCATTGTCCATCTGCACTGTGAAGCGTCCAATGAGTTGTGAAGCATTTGGCTGAATATGAGCAGATAATATTCCCGAAACACTTCACAATTCATCCGGCTGCTTTTGTCAGCAGTCACATCATCAATAAATACAAGAGAAGCAGTTCCATTGGCAGCCATACATGCCCACGCCATGACACTACCACCACCATGATCACTGATGAGGTGGTATGCTGAGGATCATGAGCAGTTTCCTTCTCCATACTCTTCTCTTCCCATCACTCTGGTACAAGTTGATGTCGGTCTCATCTGTCCATAGGATGTTGTTCCAGAACTGTGAAGGCTTTTTTACATGTCGTTTGGCAAACTCTAATCTGGCTCTCCTGTTTTTGAGGCTCACAAATGGTTTCCATCTTGTGGTGAACCCTCTGTATTCACTCTGGTGAAGTCTTCTCTTGATTGGTGACTTTGACACACATACACCTACCTCCTGGAGAGTGTTCTTGATCTGGCCAACTGTTGTGAAGGGTGTTTTCTTCACCAGGGAAAGAATTCTTCGGTCATCCACCACAGTTGTTTTCCGTGGTCTTCCGGGTCTTTTGGTGTTGCTGAGCTCACCGGTGCGTTCCTTCTTTTTAAGAATGTTCCAAACAGTTGATTTGGCCACGCCTAATGTTTTTGCTATCTCTCTGATGGGTTTGTTTTGTTTTTTCAGCCTAATGATGGCTTCACTGATAGTGACAGCTCTTTTGGATCTCATCTTGAGAATTGACAGCAACAGATTCTAAATGCAAATAGCACACTTGAAATGAACTCTGGACCTTATATCTGCTCATTGTAATTGGGATAATGAGGGAATAACACACACCTGGCCATGGAACAGCTGAGAAGCCAATTGTCCCATTACTTTTGGTCCCTTAACAAGTGGGAGGCACATATGCAAACTGTTGTAATTCCTACAACCGTTCACCCGATTTGGATGTAAATACCCTCAAAATTAAAGGTGACAGGCTGCAGTTAAAGCACATCTTGTTCGTTTTATTTCAAATCCATTGTGGTGGTGTATAGAGCCAAAAATGTTAGAATTGTGTCCATGTCCCAATATTTATGGACCTGACTGTATATGCTAGAGATGGTTTGCACCTAAATGGAAGGGGGCCTGCTGCGCTGGGGGAGGGTTTTCACGGGAAGAGGTTGGAGGAGTATTTAAACTAGGATGGAGGGGGGAGGGAGAATTAGATTATAATGGGGTAGACAGATCATACAGGGGTTAGTACTTATTGGTGGGTGCAATGGGAAAAGATGGGGGAGGGCTATGGCAGATGATAAAAAGGTTCCCATGTTACAAACCACCAGTGAAATTGGTACCATTTGTATGGGAAAAAAAAAAATACACAAAATGTTTGTGAACAAGGTGTAAATCAAAGTGTTCACCAATGCCAGAAGTCTGCCAAGCAAAATCGGTGAGTTGGAAGGTTTGGTGCATAAAGAGAACTAGGATTGAATTGGTATTGCTGAATCTTGGCTTCATTCTTCACATGACTGGGCCATTCATATTCCTGGCTAGGTTCTCTTTCAGAGAGACGGGGGAATAGGAAAGGTGGTGGTGTCTGTCTCTATGTGAGAAGTGATCTCAGAGTGAGTGTGAAAGAGGACCTAATTGATGGAGAGTGTGATGAGGCTGAAGTAATTATGGGTGGGACTGCACATGGGGGGTGGTACTACAAAGGTCATCATTGGAGGTTTGTTATAGGCCTCCCAGTGTTAATGATGAAGTGGAGACTCAGCTCCAGCACAGATCGAAAAAGCTGCAAGGGAGGGGACAGTGATAATAATGGGGGCTTTTAACTACCCGGGAAATTGACTGGAGTAAAATGGTACTGCAGGAACAGTTAAAGGGCAAAAAATATATAACCCTACTACAGGACAATTTTATGGTACAGTTCATAGAGGCCCCAACTAGGAATGATGCTCTGCTGGACCTGGTAATCTCAAACCATGCAGAGCTTATTACTATAATGTCCATATAAAAGAACATCTGGGTAGCCGTGACCACAACATGATTTCATTTATTGTTAGCTGTAAACAGCGAGCACATACGGGAAGAATAAAAATGCTCAATTTCAAGAGAGCTCATTTTCCAAGGCTGAGAGCTGCTCTCCAAGACTTAGACTGGGGAGGGAATATTGGCATTGATGAACACAACACAGAAATGGGGAGTTCTTCAAAGGCTGTATGTGACCACACTGCAAGATATATTCCCATGGGCAACAAGTATAAAAGGCTAAAAAATCAAAACCTATGTGGCTTACGGCCCAAAGTTACAAAAGCTATAGATAAGAAAAGAGCTTTTATTAAATATAGAAATGAAGGAACGTGATCATCGTTTACACATTACAAAGAATAGAACAGAATATGTAAAAAGGAAATAAAGACCAACAAAAATGGAAAATGAACAACACGATTGCAAAAGATATCAGGACCAACCCCCCCAAAACATTATTCAAATATATGAATAGTAGAAAGGTCCGGTCCCAGCATGTAGGCCCTTTACAGAACCATCTAGGGGGGGGTGACTGGGGACAAAGAGAAGGACAATGTATGAAATCCCTTCTTCAGCTCTGTGTATACAAAGGAGCATGAGGGGGCTCTTGTCCATAATGGGAGTGGTACTGACACAGCCCAAGATGATCCACATTGGCTCACAATTGATATGATCCAGAAATATTTAGACAGAATAAAGGTGAATAAAGCCCCTGGACCGGATGGCATACACCCACAGGGGCCTTAAAGAATTCATCTCTGTCATCTCACAGCCATTGTTTCTCATTTTTAGGGACTCTTTAATGACTGGCATAGTACCACTGGATTGGTGTAAGGCCAATGTGG